CAACCTTGTAAAAGATTGCCAACACGGTTTTATGCCGGAGCGCTCCTGCTTAACACAAATGCTCAAGGTATTGGATATTTGGACCCATATTCTGGAACGGGGTGGTAATATCAACAATATTTACCTAGATTATGCCAAGGCTTTCGACAGTGTACTCCACGAAAGGCTGAAAATCAAACTGGAAGGGTACGGAATTCGGGGTTTATGTTCTTGCGTGGATAGAAGACTTTCTACATCACCGCAAGCAGTGTGTGGTGATTAATGGCACGAAATCATCATTCATACCTGTCACAAGCGGGGTACCACAGGGCGGTGTATTGGGCCCACTGTTTTTTGTTTCATAAATGACATGCCTGACGTTGTACACTCCTCCATACAAATGTTTGCCGATGACGCCAAGTTATTTCGGGAAATCAAGAATCAAGCGGACTGTGAAGAGCTGCAGAAGGACCTCTGTGGGCTCCAAGAATGGTCGAAGAAATGGCTGCTGAGATTCAATATCACGAAGTGTAAGAGGATGCACCTGGGGCATACCAACGGTAAGGAGGCGTATCATATGTCCCAACGGGATGAAGAAACTGCCCTATTTGAGACTGAATGTGAGAAGGACCTAGGTGTGTATGTTGACAATGAGCTGAGGTTCTCGGGCCATTGCGAAAAGAAGGTATATCAAGCAAATAAATTATTGGGTCTTATAAGAAGGTCGTTCAGATATCTAGACGGTCCGTCCCTCGTAACGACCTTCAGGAATAAAGTGCTTCCCCATCTGGAGTACTGTACTGTCACCCCGTCTGGTCCCCGAGATATGCTAAGGACTGTCAGTTGGTTGAAAATGTTCAAAGGAGGGCCACCAGACTGGTGTCTACACTTCGGCATCTCAGCTACCCTGAGAGATTGGAGCACCTGAACTTGCCTAGCTTATACTACACACGGGCAAGGGGTGACCTAATAGAGGTGTAAAAGCATCTCAAGGGGCACTACTCAGTCGAGTGTCCATATTTGGAGCTGGTGGACGCTCGCCCCACAAGGGTTCACAGCTCAAGATTGAAGAAGCTGCAAGTCCAGAAAACTGTGAGGGCAAACTTTCTCGGAGTGAGAGTTGTCAGCATACACACCTAGGTCCTTCTCACATTGTCTCAAATACTGCAGTTTCTTCATCCCGTTGGGACATATGATACGCCTCCTTACCGTTGGTATGCCCCAGGTGCATCCTCTTACACTTCGTGATATTGAATCTCAGCAGCCATTTCTTCGACCATTCTCGGAGCCCACAGAGGTCCTTCTGCAGCTCTTCACAGTCCGCTTGGTTTTTGATTTCCCGAAATAACTTGGCATCATCGGCAAACATTTGAATGGAGGAATGACTGGTGCCAACTGGGGCAAGGTATTCCAGTTTGGCCACCATACCCTCCTCGCTTGTTATGCTGAGGCCTAGTGGCTTGGGTGTTTGCTCCCCTCTGTAATGTGTCAGGTCTCTAACATGTTGGAACAGAAAATTATCTCTCAGAGTTTCCACAAAAAGAGTAGCAGGGTTATTCAAGTCATTTGGGGTGAACTCGTTTCTCCTGTCAATGTCGCCATTGCTAAAGTCCCCCATGATAAGGAGGTGGCTAGGGTTGAGCATCGCCGCGTTGTCTATTAAGGCTCTTAAGTTCCTTTGATTTAGTGGGCCACAATTTGGGGATCTGTAGATACACCCGACGATATGTAAGTCCCCTCCCTTTAATTTAATTTAACACTACTTGGACTCTTCAAAAACATCCTCTCCCTGTACCCTCGCCTGGCTGGCTCTAAGGTCTTGCCTAGCATAGATAACCACACCCCATTTGCAGGTTTCTTCAGAAAGGTTCGTAAAAGAGTCATATCCAGCAATACATGTACTGAAGTCACATTCCCCTGGGTCGATTCTCCTGTTCTTGTACAACAGTTCTTCAACTCCTACAATATGTGGTTGGTGTACCTTCAGTAGTATTCCAAACTCCTCTCTCTTATCAAGGAACGTGTCAGTATTAGTGTACATGACATTCAAGCCAGAGTTTGTTCTCGATAACGTCTCTGCTCTTAGTAGTAACCCCCCCCCCCCCATTCTCAGAAGCTGCAGCATTTGCTAAGTACACTGTATTTTGCAGGGTGTGTTTAGAAACGTCATTGTTTACAAGGCGCTCGCCTCCTCCTGTCTGGTAGGCGGAGCTGGTGCCACCTCCCGGGTGGGGGGTAGAGCGGGTGGAGGGTGTGCTGCTGTCCCCCAGCCCTGTGTCGGAACACTTGCTTCCACCACTCTCTCCCTGAATATAACTCATGTACACCCGTCCCCGTTCCTCCTCGACTCTTCCCTTCTCTTCTTCAAGCCCTGCAGGAGCTTCTTGTGCTGTTCCCTCTGCATCACCGTGCGTTCTGGGTGAATGAATACACTCCGAGATGCCTCGATCATTGCTAACTTTTTACTATTTTCCTTTATCCTCTTCACCACTGATCGGCTTGTTAGCCGCTTGGACGATCGGTCACGTCTCTGTTACTTTTCTTTTTCCTTTATGTCAGGTATACCTGTAGTGTGTTGTATACAGTACTTCTACCATGTATGTCAGGTATACCTGTAGTGTGTTGTATACAGTACCTCTACCATGTATGTCAGGTATGCCTGTAGTGTGTTGTATACAGTACCTCTACCATGTATGTCAGGTATACCTGTAGTGTGTTGTATACAGTACCTCTACCATGTATGTCAGGTATACCTGTAGTGTGTTGTATACAGTACCTCTACCATGTATGTCAGGTATACCTGTAGTGTGTTGTATACAGTACCTGTATCATGTATGTCAGGTATACCTGTAGTGTGTTGTATACAGTACCTGTACCATGTATGTCAGGTATACCTGTAGTGTGTTGTATACAGTACCTCTACCATGTATGTCAGGTATACCTGTAGTGTGTTGTATACAGTACCTCTACCATGTATGTCAGGTATACCTGTAGTGTGTTGTATACCTCTACCATGTATGTCAGGTATACCTGTAGTGTGTTGTATACAGTACCTGTACCATGTATGTCAGGTATACCTGTAGTGTGTTGTATACCTGTACCATGTATGTCAGGTATACCTGTAGTGTGTTGTATACAGTACCTCTACTATGTATGTCAGGTATACCTGTAGTGTGTTGTATACAGTACCTGTACCATGTATGTCAGGTATACCTGTAGTGTGTTGTATACAGTACCTCTATCATGTATGTCAGGTATACCTGTAGTGTGTTGTATACAGTACCTCTACTATGTATGTCAGGTATACCTGTAGTGTGTTGTATACAGTACCTGTACCATGTATGTCAGGTATACCTGTAGTGTGTTGTATACAGTACCTGTATCATGTATGTCAGGTATACCTGTAGTGTGTTGTATACAGTACCTGTACCATGTATGTCAGGTATACCTGTAGTGTGTTGTATACAGTACCTCTACCATGTATGTCAGGTATACCTGTAGTGTGTTGTATACAGTACCTCTACCATGTATGTCAGGTATACCTGTAGTGTGTTGTATACCTCTACCATGTATGTCAGGTATACCTGTAGTGTGTTGTATACAGTACCTGTACCATGTATGTCAGGTATACCTGTAGTGTGTTGTATACCTGTACCATGTATGTCAGGTATACCTGTAGTGTGTTGTATACAGTACCTCTACTATGTATGTCAGGTATACCTGTAGTGTGTTGTATACAGTACCTGTACCATGTATGTCAGGTATACCTGTAGTGTGTTGTTGTATACTTACCATGTATGTCAGGTATACCTGTAGTGTTGTATACCTCTACCATGTATGTCAGGTATACCTGTGTAGTGTGTTGTATACCTCTACCATGTATGTCAAGTATACCTGTAGTGTGTTGTATACCTCTACCATGTATGTCAGGTATACCTGTAATGTGTTGTATACCTCTACCATGTATGTCAGGTATACCTGTAGTGTTGTATACCTCTACCATGTATGTCTGGTATACCTGTAGTGTTGTATACCTCTACCATGTATGTCAGGTCTACCTGTAGTGTTGTATACCTCTACCATGTATGTCTGGTATACCTGTAGTGTTGTATACCTCTACCATGTATGTCAGGTCTACCTGTAGTGTTGTATACCTCTACCATGTATGTCAGGTATACCTGTAGTGTGTTGTATACCTCTACCATGTATGTCAGGTATACCTGTAGTGTGTTGTATACCTCTACCATGTATGTCAAGTATACCTGTGGTGTGTTATATACCTCTACCATGTATGTCCAGGTATACCTGTAGTGTGTTGTATACAGTACCTCTACCATGTATGTTAGGTATACCTGTAGTGTGTTGTATACAGTACCTCTACCATGTATGTCAGGTATATACCTGTAGTGTGTTGTATACCTCTACCATGTATGTCAGGTATACCTGTAGTGTGTTGTATACAGTACCTCCACCATGTGTCAGGTACATGCCTGTAGTGTGTTAACAACCACCTGTACCATGTATGTCCAGGTACACTGTAGTGTGTTGTATACAGTACCTCTACCATGTATGTCAAGGCCTTACCTGTAGTGTGTTGTATACAGTACCTCTACCATGTATCAGGGCATACCTGTAGTGTGTTGTATACCTGTACCATGTATGTCAGGTATACCTGTAGTGTGTTGTATACAGTACCTGTACCATGTACGTCAGGTATACCTGTAGTGTGTTGTATACCTGTGTCAGGTATACCTGTACCATGTATGTCAGGTATACCTGTAGTGTGTTGTATACCTGTACCATGTATGTCAGGTATACCTGTAGTGTGTTGTATACCTGTACCATGTATGTCAGGTATACCTGTAGTGTGTTGTATACCTGTACCATATGTCAGGTATACCTGTACCATGTATGTCAGGTATACCTGTAGTGTGTTGTATACCTGTACCATGTATGTCAGGTATACCTGTAGTGTGTTGTATACCTGTACCATGTATGTCAGGTATACCTGTAGTGTGTTGTATACCTGTACCATATGTCAGGTATACCTGTACCATGTATGTCAGGTATACCTGTAGTGTGTTGTATACCTGTACCATGTATGTCAGGTATACCTGTAGTGTGTTGTATACAGTACCATCTACCCTCACATTACTGATAGTTATATAAAGTGATACATTAATTATTTACCAATACAGTACACCTGTTACTATTGATTACACTTACTACAAACTTTCAGCCCTACGTGAGCATTATATAAACTTTACTCTTTGTTAAAACCATAAATATTTCACAATAACAGTTTCAGAATTCTTCCTTAACAAATTCTAGTTCTTCCAGGCACTCCATCTTTAAAGAAGATTGGTCAATTATCTCAGGCCCTGGTGAAGCTTCTGTCTCACAAATGACTGAGAGTGGATCATAATTAGTTTCCTTTTTCACTCCTTCAGAAACACACATCTCCACTGTTGGTTGGCAAGACAAGCTCAAGTCATGGTGCAAATCCTGGCAACTTTCACCTTCATAGTGATTAGAATTGACCACTTGGTCAGTCTGGTAACATCTCTCTACATGTAATATTAAGCTCTCTTTCTCTTTAAAGTCTTTCATGCATCTTACACAGTGGAAAGGTTTTTCTGTGTGAGCTTTGTTGTGTCTTTCTAGAAGATAACTTTCAGAAAAGACTTGATGACATTCTGAACACTGATAAGGTTTCTCTCCTGTATGAACTTTTTGATGTCTTATGAAAGAACTCTTATGCAAAAACCTTATATAACATTCTGAACACTCATAAGGCTTCTCTCCTGTATGAATTCTCTTATGTTTTATGAAAGAGGATTTATCTGAAAAATGTCTTAAACACTCTGAACACTGATAAGGTTTCTCTCCTGTATGAATTCTCTTATGTGCTTTTAAGTGACTTCCTTGTGAAAAGCTTTTAAAACATTCTGAACACTCATATGGCTTCTCTCCTGTATGACTTCTCATATGTTGTTTTAAGTGACTTCCTTGTGCAAAGCCTTTAAAACATTCTGAACACTCAAATGGCTTCTCGCCTGTATGACTTCTCATATGTGCTTTTAAGTGACTTGCTTGTAAAAAGCCTTTAAAACATTCTAAGCATTGAAATGGCTTTTCTACTGTATGAACTTTCACATGTCTCACTAAATCACGTTGTGTTTTAAAACCTTTAAAACATTCTGAACACTCAAATGGCTTCTCTCTTGTATGACTTCTCATATGTGCTTTTAAGTGACTTGCTTGTGAAAAGCCTTTAAAACATTCTAAGCATTGAAATGGCTTTTCTACTGTATGAACTTTCACATGTCTCACTAAATCACGTTGTGTTTTAAAACCTTTAAAACATTCTGAACACTCAAATGGCTTCTCTCCTGTATGACTTCTCATATGTGCTTTTAAGTGACTTGCTTGTGAAAAGCCTTTTAAACATTCTAAGCATTGAAATGGCTTTTCTACTGTATGAACTTTCACATGTCTCACTAAATCACATTGTCTTTTAAAACCTTTAAAACATTCTGAACACTCAAATGGCTTCTCTCCTGTATGATCTTTCACATGTGTTACTTGATGTGATTTTACAGACAATTCTCTGGGAGACTCTGACTGTTCCTCTGAGTGACCTTCCATTATCAAACTATGTGTATTGTGTGTTCAAAGGGTTTAGTGACACTTAACTGGCAAACTGTTTCCTCCTACAAGAACTATTAATGTCTTGTTACTGTTAATTATATTTGACAATGAAAACTGAAACATAAGTCAATTAGTGAATGTGATTTACTGACACTGATGTAATGATGCTGAGATGGGAGGACAGTGAGGAGGTAAGTGTGATGGAAGATCCAGTTTGTGATGTGACTACACCATTATTAACAAGGTTCCTCTATACCTCTTTGAACTAAATGTGAAAAATGGTGTAAAGAATGAGTTACACATATAACTATACTTGTCATTAACAAACACTGTTTATGACTTACAACATACACTATAAAAACACTCAACAGGGAAGTGTACAAAAATTATATATTGTACATTATTGTTATATGTACAGTTCCTCTGATGTACAGTAAACAATAATACTCAGGCTGATATACTACAAAGAATAATAATTTCTTGTCTACTTGTAATTCTTTCGTTCAGTTTATAATACTTTGTCTATGTCCACTGTTCTTAACAGCTACACCCAACATAATGTTCTACCTTTCCTAAATTCGTGACCAACAAAGTCACTGTTGATTATAATCTAGGATTGTCAAACAGAACCCAAACACTGTAAACAGGCAAGAACTCGGTGATGAATTTGAAGCAAGCAGACAAGTGCAAACAGTAAACTTCTATATAGTACTGCACTGAACTAAACAAATAATGTACTGGAAAACTGTTTTCCAGTCAATGCCACAATATCCTGGTCACTGGGATCTGATAAACACCCTTTGTGACCTCTACCCCATATGGGGTGCACAATAAACTAGCAGCTGTCCATGGCAATCAGTGTTGTCACAATTTACTGCTTCTCTTCCCACTGTCATTTGTTTTTTTCACTCCATATCTGTGGAAAATAAAGAAGAACATATTAGTGAAATAATATAAGTAAGAGACTTCCTTTAAATAACTGAAGATACACCTCACCCACACACAAAACACCAGTACAGGTTGCACTCCAGAAATACCTAATGTTAATAAAAACGATCACTAAAGGAGGGATAACAGCAAAGGGCGAACAACAGGGTTAGCTTTCTCGTAGGACGGGGTCACCGACCTATAGTGACGTTCTCAGAAGACTGCAGCCAGTGTTGAAAATAATTGTTGGTCCCAGTTTGGTTAATCCTCTGGTACACATGGCCATGGTAGGAAATCTCACCCCCCCCCCCCATTAATGGGAAAGATTTTCCCATTATAATAAACATTGGGTAGAGCGATTCAGAACCAAATTAAACAAATAGAAATGTATCTGCCAGCCCACGAGGCTAGTGGGAGGAACTTAGGTGGTTGATAGGGTGTGTGCGGGTGGTGTAGAGGTGTGTGGGTGGTGTTGTAGGGTGTGTGTGTGTGTGTGTGTGAGTGGATGTTGGAAAGTGTGTGTGTGATGTAGGTGTGGTGTGTGCGGGTGGTGTAGAGGTGTGTGGGTGGTGTTGTAGGGTGTGTGTGTGTGTGTGTGTGAGTGGATGTTGGAAAGTGTGTGTGTGATGTAGGCATGTATGTGTGATGTGTGGGTGGTGTTGGTGTGTGTAGCACAGAGTGGGTGTATAAAACAGGACGTCCACTACTTACCAGCCATCTCCACTCTCTCCTGAAGTATACGTATATGGGAAAAGGAGGAAATCCCCCAATTACAAGGCAGATCGGTCAGACTGTGGCAACTAACGTGGGCTCTCGCTGCTGTCCGTACCTGACAAGATTATTGCCCGAGTCCTCCTAAACAAACTTCTTCCTGAGGCAGAAACCTTCCTCCCAGAATCTCAATGTGACTTTAGACCATCACGAGGCACCACTGACATGATCTTTGCTGCCCTCCAGATACAGGAAACGTGCAGAGAACAGTGTCGTGACCTGTACATGGCTTTCATCAACCAAACCAAGGCCTTCAATTCAGTCAACAGGGAAGCCCTCTGGTGGACCCTCAGCCGGTTTGGATCCCCCCAAAATTCATCGCCATTGTGAGGCACCTCCACAATGGCATGAATGCCAATGTCTTGCACAATGGCACCTAGTCTGAGTTCTTCCCCATCCAATCAGGGGTTAAACAAGGGTGTGTACTGGCACCAACTCTCTTTTCCATTTTCTTGGCTGCCTTCCTTACTCGTGCGAGTGCCAATTTAGTTGGCGAGCTGGACATCGAGTACCGGATGAAGAGTCTTTACAACATAAGACGAATCCAGGCAAGAACAAAGGTAACAGCAGCTTCAGTTACTGAACTTTAGTAAGCAGATGGCCTCACCCTTGTTGCTCACACTGAACGCGACCTACAGGAGATCCTGAACACCTATGCAGATGAGTATGCACATTTTGGCCTCGAGGTGAATGTACGTAAGACTCAGATTCTCTTACAGCCTACCTCGGTTCAGACACACCTCCACCATCCATCCATCTTAACAGTACAGAGTACTACCCTCTCTAATGTTACCCACTTTTGGTATCTCGGCTCCCACCTGTCCACCACAGCGGACATCGATGAAGAGGTTCAGCATCTGATTAGATGTGCATCTCAAGCCTTTGGCAGACTCCAAAACCATGTCTTCAGCTGTAGGGAGCTGAAATTGTCTACAAATTTCCACATATATCGAGAAGAGGTCCTCCCCACCCTGCTGCATGGCAGCAAGACATGGGTGACATAAAGGAGGCACCTCAAGGCACTTGAAAACCTTCACCAACGTAGTCTACGTTCCATCCTCCGAGAACAAATGCCAGTATTCTTGCTGACACTAACTGTAGGAGCATCGAGGCTACCATAATCCATGAAAAACTACGCTGGACTGGCCATGTTACCAGCATGGACGACAGTAGACTGCCAAAGCAGCTACTTTACAGTCCTCAAAGGAATAGTAAACGTAACGCCGGCAGGCAATTTAAAAGGTATAAGGATAGTCTTAAGACAAACCTGAAAAAGTGCCAAATCGACCCCCTCACCTGGGAGTCGATTACTCCACATCGTAATGCTTCGAGGAGCACCAAACGAGAAGGTGTCAATACTTTTGAGTTAGTCCGACTGCAAACAGAGGCAGACAAGTGCCATTGCCAGAAAGATAATTCCACCGCCCCTCCCACACTTGATTTAACGCTCCCCAACGATTTAACCTCCACATTTGCAACTTCTGTGAACAACTCTGTCAGTCCGTGAACGCCCTCTTCAGTCACCTCAAAACTCACCAATGAAGGCGATATCCCTAAAACTCTCATATCACTGTATCATAACTGGATGATCATCACACTTCATTCCAAGTGACAGCAAAGTAGAAGTAGTAAACTCAAAAATCATTCTTAACATTTTTTTTGTTAGGAAAGGTTAGGTCAGGTCAGGTTAGGTCAGGTTTACAAAGGTTTGTTTGGTTTTATTTTTAGTATTTTATCCCATATTTTCCTTCTACAGGAAAACCTTCACAGACGATATCTTGTTCAGCGATATTACACTTTAGTGATGGACATGAATTAAGACCATCTCGCTATACCTGTATACGATAAAAAAAAAATCACAGAAATTAAACTGTCTTGCAAAGCAAATGATATTTTTTTATGCCAAGTCAGTAACTTTTGTAAGGAAACAACATTTAACTATGCACCACGCATCTCTTGCTTCACTTGTCAGCTCTACCCGTGCGCCGCCACACATTCAACCCGCACTACAACCCTGTGCTTGGTTCTTTGTTTATTGTAACCCCACCATCACATGGCTCCACGATTATCGGTCACCATCGTACATTGAACTTATCATCAGTGGATTTTTTCTTATAGTGAGAGGACAGCACTACCATTTAGAGTGAACCGTATTATGGTGACTGTGAAGTGATATTTTCTGTGTTTTTGTGACTGTTGTTTTGAAAATGGTGTGAAAAGTGTCGGCTACTATCAATGTTTTTACATTTTCATCCTTTGCTCTGTTTCTGTGACTGAAGTGAGCAGTGTAACCGATAAATGTCTCGATAGGCCAAGACAACCATGTCTCTGAAGTGAAGCTTGAAATGTGAAGCAGCATGAGACTCCCCAGTGGCTGTGTGGGAGTGAGTGACGTCTCCACCACACCCCACAAGTGGGAGAGAGAGAGAGTGACGTCTCCACTCCTCCTACAAGTGGGAGAGAGAGAGTAATGTCTCCGCTCCTCCTACAAGTGGGAGAGAGAGAGTGACGTCTCCACTCCACCTACAAGTGGGAGAGAGAGTAATGTCTCCGCTCCTCCTACAAGTGGGAGAGAGAGAGAGTGACGTCTCCACTCCTCCTACAAGTGGGAGAGAGAGAGAGAGTGGCGTCTCCACTCCACCTACAAGTGGGAGAGAGAGAGTGACGTCTCCACTCCAACTACAAGAGTCCCCTTAGCCTTAAAGGGGACATGTGATGATGACCAGGTTTATCATTCATGATGTACGACAAAACTTATTCTTCATGATGTATGACCAAGCTTATTATTGATGATGTATGACCAGACATATTCTTCATGATGTATGACCAAGCTTATTCTTCATGATGTATGACCAGGCTTATTCTTCATGATGTATGACCAGGCTTATTCTTCATGATGTATGACCAAGCTTATTCTTCATGATGTATGACCAAGCTTATTCTTCATGATGTATGACCAAGCTTATTCTTCATGATGTATGACCAAGCATATTCTTCATGATGTATGACCAAGCTTATTCTTCAAGATGTATGACCAGGCTTATTATTCGTGAGTGTTGTTTAATTGTTTCTTATTGATTTTATAAGTGCAGGAATATTTTTGTCGGTGATAAATGTGAGTACAGTGGTCCCTCGGTTAACAAATGTGAGTACAGTGGTCCCTCGGTTAACGAATGTGAGTACAGTGGTCCCTCGGTTAACAAATGTGAGTACAGTGGTCCCTCGGTTAACAAATGTGAGTACAGTGGTCCCTCGGTTAACAAATGTGAGTACAGTGGTCCCTCGGTTAACAAATGTGAGTACAGTGGTCCCTCGGTTAACGAATGTGAGTACAGTGGTCCCTCGGTTAACAAATGTGAGTACAGTGGTCCCTCGGTTAACGAATTACCTTCCATAAGAATCTTCAATTCAGTTAACGAAAAAAAATTTGATTCATGAAATCCTTACTACAACATGTCAACATGTTTTGGCTTGTGCATCAGCTGATAGGCTAGTCCGCCAATACAGTAATCGGTTCTAGGCTTACATTCGTTTCCAGAGGAGTAAATATCAAGAAGGTTGAGCTCTTTAATATTTTCCAAGTTTTATAATAAAATTATTAGTCATTTTAACATTTATTTAACATATTGATAATATATGAAGTACAGGGAACTAGTTTTTGGTGCGCCCATCAGCCACTTCACTCACCCACCAAAGCGTCTGTTTAACTCTCTGTACAGTGGAGGAAACATCTTGCTTGGGGGTCTCTTGAACACAGAGTATTTTTACATTTTTACAGTACAATTATTAGTCATTCTGAAATTTATTTAACATATTGATAATATATATAGCGCAGTGTTGGTTTAAATAAAATAATCTTATTATTACAGCTAGTGAACTTAAAATTTTAGTGGTGAAATTACTGTAGTGCATCCAGCATGGGTCCAAAGAAATCTAGAAAGGCAATTTCAATTCAAGTGAAACAGGAAATTATTAAGAAACATGAAGAAGGCATTAGAACAAATGTACTAAGTAAAGAATATGGCATGTCGGCATCAACAGTGTCGACAATTCTTGCGCACAAAGAAAAATTTAAAGAAGTGAAAGTAAGAGATAAATCTACCAGTGTGTTTAAAGGTAGATCATTAATTGCAGAAACAGAGAGGTTACTTCTTATTTGGACTAAGGAAAAACAAATGAGCAAAGATTAAATTTCTACTGAATTTATTTGTGAAAGAGCCAGGGAAATATACGAACATTTGAAGGAAGAGCAACCTAGTTCTTCTGAAACTGAGTTTGAAGAGTTTAGGGCCAGCAAGGGCTGGTTCGAAAAATTCAAGAAAAGAAGTGACATTTTTAGTGTTGTTAGGCATGGTGAAGCTGCTAGTGCAGACAAAGAAGGAGCAGCAAAAATTGTAGTGGAGTTCAAGGTACTGATGGATGAAGAGAATTATCTTCCACAGCAAGTGTTCAATGTGGATGAAACCGGGCTGTTCTGGAAGAAAATGCCCAAAAACACATTCATCACCAGAGATGAAGCTTCTTTACCGGGGCATAAACCCATGAAGGACCATCTCACTCTATTACTTGGTGCCAATGTTTTAGGGGATTTCCGACTGAAGCCTACGGTATGTATGTATACTACTCATGAGAACCCCAGGGTGTTCAAGCAACAAAAGGTGGAAAGAGGACAACTTGGAGTTTATTGGAAGTCCAACCGTAAGGCATGGGTGACAAGACAGCTCTTTAATGAATGGGCAGTTGAGGTGTTTTGCCCTTCTGTCAAGAGCTGCCTAACCACCAATAAACTCCCTTTAAAGGCTCTTCTCCTTCTGGATAATGCCCCTGGTCATGACCCTGAACTTGCCAGCACTTTGAAGGCTAGATTTGACTTTGCCAAAGTGTTGTTTTTGCCTCCCAGCACTACATCAATCATGTAGCCAATGGACCAGAATGTAATCAGCAACTTCAAGAAGCTGTACATGAAGAAAATGTTCAGAAGGTGTCATCAGGCAACTTCCACTGATCCTGATCTAACACTGTCACAGTTCTGGAAGATGCAATACAACATCCTGGAGGCTGTAAAATTGATTGTGTCATCATGGCAAGAAGTCTCCATTAGATACCTCAATTCTGCATGGAAAGCACTGTGGCCATCAGCAGTCCATGATTTTGAGGGTTTTGAAGAAGAAGCGGAGTTGGACCAGGAGATTGTGTCCATTGGTTAGTCAATGGGACTCGAAGTGGAGGAGGATGATGTTGAAGAGCTTGTGATGTCTCATGAGCAGGAACTTACTCCTGAAGACTTGAAGCAACTGGATGAGATGTTAGAAACAGACAGTGGTGAGGAGGAAAGGGAAAGTGATGACCATATGTCTTCTTCAGAATTAAAAGATGTTGTTCACCACTGGGAGACATTCAGGAAACTGGCTTCAAGGCATCCTGATGTGGAAACAACAGAACCTATTTTGTGTACTGGTGAGGACAAAGTGGTCTCCTTCTTCAAGAAAGATGCTACTCCTCAGCCTTCCACTTCAAAAAGGAGAGAGGATTTTCCTGTTGGAGAATCTGTCAGTCCAGAGGTTCCTGACATTATTATGGAAGGTGACTCGCCTTCCAAGAAGCAGTAAAATGCTTCTCCTCAACCCCCACTTCCTTCTCTTCTCCCTTCGCCTCTACTCCCACTTCTAATTCCCATCATCATCATCAACCAGGAACCTTCTACATACACACCTCAAAGTAAGTGTATTTTACTGAATTTTTTTTTACTTTGTATGTAATTTTCGGTGTGCTGGAACCAATTACCCAATATCCCATTGAAACAATGGATTCGGTTACCGAAATTTTCGGTTAACGAACGACCCTCTGGAACGAATTGTGTTCGTTAACCAAGGGACCACTGTAGGTGTGTTGGAGACTGGCTGGGAACATATCCCATTGAACCCCATGTTACAATGCTCCCTGTCTACAATATTGCACTTAGTGATGGGTCTTCAGTAGCGATGGGTTTTCAGGCACCTAACCCCCATTGTTTATCAAGGTTTACCTGCATGTACTAAAAACTCTTCCAACTTTGAACAACTAATGTTGTTGGTAATTTATTCGGTAAAAATACTGAAAAAATATAATTTCCAACAGAAACACTATAGAATAAATTATTTTAGTCTCTTCTTTCTGCCTACATAAATTTTTTTTAATACTGACGAGATAACTGCTGAGACATTATTTGTTTTGAAGTTTATTTATTTTCTTAATATATTATCATCAGACAGTTCTGATATAATATTCATTTCTTGGGCAAAAGCTTTGTTTGGTAGATAATTAGGCCCCGAGGCTCGCATTAGTGGCACTACATCAAGCGCAACAATAAAATCGGTAATGTGCCCCAATCTACGCTCAATTTTGTCCTACAATCAGTGTATGTCCTGGTGGCTTCTCTCACGTCTACAAAAAATGTAAAATTACACCAGGAATTTAGGTAAGGTTAGGTAGCTTTCTTTGGTTAGGTTGGTGAGGTCTTCTAACAATGCTTCTGCTGCTTGTGTTTCTTATCAACTAAGTTTAGGTGAGGTTTAATTTAGATATAACCACTTTTTAACACATTTGCCCAAACTACAATAATGTTCACTACAAAACAGTGAAATTGCAGCACTTTAAAAATAATTTTCTGTAAAAAATCGGAGGCGAGTATTTCGTCAATAATTACCGGAGACAATATCTAAGTAGGTGTTGGCAACTACGTACTAATATTAACTAATTAAAATAGGTTCTATGCATTGCCATATCATTTTTATTACTTCTTATGAACTAAAGAACAGAGTAAAAAATGAACAAAATCCAACAACTCCTTCAGGTGTCAGCCATCAGCTCCACTATTACCTTAGGTAACGTATGAGAACACCGCTACCACCAGAAGAAGTTGTTCGATCGTTCATCTTTCCACAGAAGTTCTTATCGTTACAGTAAGCACTTTTAAAAGAGGCGACATTTACTAGAACCAAATAGAACCTGACCTAACCAACCAGAGTCCTACATAACCGAAACAATAACTTTACCACCTTGCATAACTTCCAAGTCGGGGGGGCCTCCACCATATTAAACAGAAAGTACATATTTTGATATGTGGTATCAATGAAAGCAACTTTGTTGATGCGTCATGGGTAAATATTCGTTTAATTGCAATGGCTCCTTTTTGTTATGAGAACAGGTTTTTGGGGGGTTTATATTTAATTTAATTCAGGTTAGCTTAGGTTAGGTTAGGTTAGGTTAGAACAGTGATTTAGAAGATGAAGTTATGTAAATATTTGTTTGGGTGTATTTAGTCAGATATGAGTAAAACACAACTAAATACATAAAAACTATTCTCATGACAAAAAGAAGCCACAGTCATTTACTGCCTCATGCTGTAATTTTAGGTTTTTTGTTAACATGAGAGTACGCTGGGACCGAGCGGGTCACTTGTAAACAGATGACAGGCGGTGACTTAGGACAATTTTCTAAGAGTATTTACGGTAAATAAATAATTTATTCACTTACAAAGCACATACAGACACCACATTAGTGTTATATGATCAGTTTTTCCATCGTGCTTTACCCTGCAATTTCCCTCATCCTTCATGCCCTGCCCATTACAGGTGATTTATGATGGGAGAGAAAAAACTAAATACTGATACTTAAAATAAACAGTTGTCGCCTGATAAGAACATCTGTGGAAAAACTTACCGGGTAACAGAATCGAACAACTCCTTCTGGTGGGAGCAGTTTCCTCATATATTGTCGGTGGATATTTTGCCGTGACCGTTAAGTTCCCACTAACGATATTTTACCGGGAGTGAGCTTTGATCGGTTAATCATCCATTACCGGGGAACAACGGAGAACTATATCTGACCGCGACTGGTGGCATTTGACATTTACTTCTCAGTGAGACGATGTTTGTGTAGCTATAAACATATTTAACCATATTATGTTGAGCATGGAAACTTATTGTTATTAAAGAAGCAACATTTACTAGAACCTAATAGAACTGGGGTACTATTTTACTTTCACAAAACCATTGAATATAATTATAATTATAAGACTTTTCTTCTAAGACGTTTGACCTCGCAAAAGACTTATATAGGCTGGGGACCGGAGCCCCTCGGTTATGAGGTTAGGTTAGGTAATTTTTAGGTCATTTGCGAGGGAAACATTTTGGAAGAAAACTTGGTTAATATAGAAAACTAACCTGCTAGGGCTCTATAGCGCATCATCTCAAGTCCACAAAATTACTCAAAAATTACCATATCATAGTAAGTTCTTTCTGTTTAATATACCGGGGAAGTTAGGTAAGGTTAGGTAGGTTTGTTTGGTTAGGTCTGCTCTTCATAACCCACAAATGTTAAATAGCGTTTATTTTAAAAATATCCATTTTTTAATCTTTCCACAAAGTACAACAGTATAACAATGAAGATGCGGCGTTTTTAAAATTGTTTTCAATCAATTTCGCTCACGGGTTAGTCCTATATAATTACCGAAAAGTGTCTAAAGATTGTATAAAAATGTTAATTGCAAAGATAAAACACAAATATTCCATGGTTATCCACTTATAAAGATTTACCAGAACCTGACCTAACCAACCAAAGAAACCTGCCTAAGTTTACCTAACTTCCGAGCCGGAGGCTAGTGCACTCACGGTAAAATAGCATTAGTAGGAACTTAGCTGGTCACGGCAAAATGTTCACTGTTATAAATTACCTATCTTGTGTGCTGAGATGTCCTCAAGTTACTGTTTCAGGAACACAACTGTGTAAACAAATACTTTGGTTACCTGTGTTGTGAGTTTTGTTGTAAGAGTTGGACGGTCAACTTGTACCACTGTGTCCTCCTTGGCCCGGACACAAGTGTTATCCTGTATGATCCTCACTACAGGTGTCCTCCTGTACTAACACTGGACAAACCAACCGCCCAGGCGGCTTATATCAATAGGCGGTTAACTTATAAGTAATATATATTAATAAATAAATAAACCTTGTAGGTCAACTTGTACCGCCAGGCTCGTCTTTGTTGTGACTTGTAAGATGGTTCCTGTGCATCAGCTAGTGTTGCCATCTACAAGTTTACATTCCCGCTAAATGAGACTCCAAAACCCGCTAGATTTACTCCTAACCCTAGGTGGTAACTGTACAGATAATAGCATATGTTACCCTCTTTATATATACCGTATATAGATATATAGACAATTAAGCTGATTAATATATATAAATAGATAGAATATATATATATATATATATATATATATATATATATATATATATATATATATATATATATATATATATATATATATATATATATATATATATATATATATATATGCTGATAACCACAAGGAAAGAAGAAACACGAAGTTCCCAAGCGCTTTCGTGTAATTCACATCTTCAGGGGTGAGTACAGACTAGTCTGTACTCACCCCTGAAGATTTTCTACATCTATATTTATGATTTAATCAGAGGTTGAGTTTGTCAGTAAAGAGGTGAATTGAAGTTATATATGCGTTCGCAACTCTATTGGCCTGACCGCAAACCACATCCCCGGTCAAACGGCCGTTAAATCTGGGAGAATTTTGAGTTTGACAGGAACTGTTCAGAAGATGAATGACTTTCTTAAATAGACAACTGACACTAACTAAACTATGAACATCAGATTCTCTGATGTCGGGGCAACAAAACAATATAACTTCAGTAGCGATCAGAAACCCATGGATATCCCCATGGACGACCTAAAATACGCCACTCTAACTGGCAAACTCAACACTCGCCTACTTGACACGTCTTACTAACAATAAGGACAGTTGAAGCGTTCAACACCACTCACAATGGATCTTGAATGTTCCAACTGTAAACAGACATATCTAAGTTGACTCAAAACAAAGGTGTTCTCTCTCACATTCAAATACATTATATAGAGAGGTTGGTTTCAGTAAGTCAGAGAAAATGGGATAACGGAGGACTGAGGCGTCTTGAAGTGACGAGAAAACGGACTCCTCAGATGGAGGACTCAAAATAAAAGCAGAGGTACATGTTTTGTGGGCTATTGAGCGTAATATGAATCATTTGATTTTGGCGTTAACTGACGTGTACGACCGTGGTCGTTACATTACTTTTTCAAGTACATTTAGTTGAGTAGGTTTTTGGTGGAGATAATTATTGCCGTGTTCCCTATTTGTACCTTTATTTGTTAATAACTTGGGGTAGGATTCACTCCCCAAGTATAAAGGGTAGTGGGATCGCGACAAGTGGGGGCCTGTGTCCGGGAGCTAACCATTGGTGTGTCATATCAAGTGTTGTTACTCGCCAGGTGTTATTTCATCGCTAAGTATTTTTGGATGCAAGTTGCTGTGTTCACAGTGTTCATTTATATTGCTCCTGTTATTGCTTAAGCTACTGGTGAGTTAACCCTTATCTTGTGTACCAGGTGTTTGGTTAATCCCTTGCTGTGTTTCACAGTTTATTGCATTTTGATATTATTAATTAGCTAGCTAGTTAGCTTAGCTGCCACGGTTACTTTTTTTCGCTACTCGATTTTGAATTCAACATGTTTGACCTGGAAAGCTTTTTGGCTTCACCTTCAGCCGAAGTACTGAAGGGGCTTACTAAGGCAGAGTGGCAATCCCTCGCTGCTTATTATGAAGTAGAAGGCCGCTCTTCCATGAATAAGGCTAGGTTAGAAGAGGCTGTCCTCAACTACCTTATTGACAATGAAATCATAGCCCAACCGTCGGGAAATTCAGAGGAAATTGTTACACCAAGTAATTTGGCCTTACAAGTTGAACTCAAAAGACTCGAGGTGGAGCTGGAAACTCTCAAACAACGAGGTTTGGCTCAAGGTAGTATTACTTCAACATTCAGTGTAGACAAATGTCTCAACAGTGTTCCTAAATTTAATGAGGAAGAACCAGACAAGTTCTTCTCTCTTTTTGAGAAAATTGCCCGACTTAACAAGTGGCCTGTTTCTCAATGGTCTCAACTTATTTATAGATCTTTCACTGGTAAAGCATTAGATGTGTTTTCTGCCCTCTCTGAGGATCAATGTCTAGACTATGCCCTTGTTAAGTCTGCGGTTTTGAGCGCTTATAAACTTGTTCCTGAAGCCTACCGGCAACAGTTCCGTAACTGCCGGAAGACTGACAAACAAACATTTGTGGAGTTCTTCAGGCAGAAACAGGTTCTTTGTCGGAGGTGGATTGAAAGTGAGTCTGCCCATGTAGAACATGACAAGCTTGTTGAACTAATCCTGCTAGAGGAGGTTAGAAAGTGTATCCCAGGCGACATTCGAGCACACTTGGATCAGAGAGGTATCTGTACCCTGGCTGATGCTGGTCCAGTGGCTGACCATTATTCCTTAACTAATAGAAATGTAAATTCCAGGTCTTATGCTCCCATGTCCCAGTCCTTCACTTCCTTCAAGCGGCCCACACCAACATCTACATCGGGGTCCCTGCCTCTTGGCATACCGACCCGACCCTCAGGTTCTGCATCATCTACCCCGGGTGAGCCTATGGTCCATGGGACAGGTTGATCTACTCCTACTGGTGAGAGAAACTCTAGTTGCAGGTACTGTAAGAAGCCAGGACATGTCAACAGCGACTGTCTCAAGTTAAAGAAAAGAAATTCCTCTCACCAAGGATCCCCGGCTCTTTTGGTCAGGGTGGCCGAGCAATCGGAGAAATTATTGGAGCCCTGTGTCACTGCCCTCAGTCAGACTGTTGCCCTGAATGCTTCCCCCTCTTCTATGATATCAACCTTTGAACCATTTTGTTCTCCTGGTTCCTTAGCTTTGGATCAATTCAGTCAACCCATTTCTGTTAAACTCTTGAGAGACACAGGCTCAGCCTTATCTCTTGTTACTAAAGAAGCTGCTCCATTCCTGGATTCATGCTATACTGGTAGCTGGGTGCTTGTGAACGGTTTGACCGGTGGGTCGCGTATTCCCCTTTGTCAAGTGTACCTGCGGTCATCCATAAAGTCAGGCTATGTCACGTTAGGAGTAGTAGATAGCTTACCTGTAGAAGGGGTCTCTCTATTGATAGGAAATGACCTCGTTGGCGACATGATGTTCCCTAATGTTGTGATCTCATCTTGTCCCACTGCCGAGAATAATACTGTGCAGTTAGAAGTAGACTTTCCAGGGTTGTTCCCTGCGTGTGCTGTGACCCGTAGCATGAGCCGCAGTACAGAGGTAGAAGAGACTAGTGAAGTTGATGAAGTTTCCCTCCAGGACTGTGAGAAGTCCGAGGATAATCTTGTTCAGCCGGACCATACTGATCTTGGTCTCAGTGAATTTTTTGAGGATTCCCCACAACCAGATAACCTCCAGAGTAGTTCTGATGGAGATAGGAACCCAGATGTCACTAGTTTTGGTTCCTCTCCCATCACTAGGAGTAAGTTTATTGAGCTACAAGCAGGGGATCCTGAGCTAGTAGGTTTTCTCAATAGGTCAGTCACTGAGACAGAAGCTGAGCAAGAATCAAATTGCTACTACACTAGGTCTGGTGTATTAATGCGGAAGTTCCGTCCCTCCAATTCTCCTGCCAATCACCCTTGGTTAGTTCATCATCAAGTTGTTATTCCCAAACCTTTGCGGCAGGACATACTTAGTATCGCTCATGATGGGGTGGGTGGTCATTTAGGAGTTAGGAAGACTTATGCAAAAATTTTATCCCAGTTCTTTTGGCCTAGGATGAAGAAAGACGTCAGCTCTTACTGTCGCACTTGCCATGATTGTCAGGTAGCGGGGAAACCGAACCCCATTGTTAAACCATTCCCTCTGCAGCCTATCCCAGTCATCGAAGAGCCCTTTAGTAAGGTGGTCATAGATTGTGTCGGTCCCTTACCTAAGACCCCTCGTGGTCATCAGTTCTTGCTAACCATTATTGATTGTGCAACCCGTTATCCTGAAGCCATTCCCTTGCGCCGCATCACAGCGAAGAATGTTATCAAAGCCTTAACCCACTTCTTCACTCAAGTAGGCCTTCCTACAGTGGTGCAGTCAGATCAGGGTTCCAATTTTACTTCCCGGTTGTTTAATCAGGTAATGCAAACCCTGGGAGTCCGGCAGTTGAGGTCTTCGGCCTATCACCCTCAGTCACAGGGGGTGGTAGAGAGGTTTCACCAGACACTAAAACTCATGTTGCGCACCTTCTGTCTGGAGACTGGGAAGGATTGGGACGAGGGAGTTGACCTGCTTTTGTTTGCTGTTCGGGACAGTAAACAAGAGTCGCTAGGATTCTCGCCCTTCCAGCTCGTCTATGGACATGAGGCGCGAGGGCCTCTTAAGGTGTTAAAAGAGTGTTGGTTGAGTGATCAGAGCGCGACGCCCTTAGCTTCATATGTGGTCCAATTCAAGGAGAAGTTGCGTCTGGCTGTAGAACTTGCCCAGTCCAACTTAAGGTGTGCTCAGGTGAAAATGAAACTGCATTTTGATAAGGCCCATCAGGCAAAACCTAGAGAATTCCAAGTGGGGGAGCAGGTGTTGGCCTTCCTGCCCTTACATGATCACCCTTTTAAATCCAAATACAGTGGTCCATATGAAGTACTAGAAAAACAGGGGTCAGTGAATTATGTGATTAGCACCCCTGAACGGCATAAGAAAAAACGCCTTATCCATGTCAATCTTTTAAAGTCATATCATGTTCGTAACGAAAACCTGGGAAAAGCAGTTGCTTGTGTTGATCAATCCTTGCCAAATTGTATCATTGTGCCAGAGTGTAAGGATGATAAAGATCAGTGTTTTTCTGAAATAATGAATGGGTCTAGTGTAAAAGTTGAAAATCGACTATCTTGGAGGACCCCAGTGCTAAGTTGTGTCATCTCTCTAGTGACCAAGCCAATAATATAAAGTCTCTATTACAGGAGTATCTTATTATAGTTGGTGATTACCCACTCTCTTGTTCAGTGCTGGAGCATGACGTTGAGACCAGGGGAGCCAAGCCAATCCGACAGCGTCCCTACCGTCTTAATGCCTTCAAGCGGGAGTGTGTGCGAGCCGAGGTACAGCGTCTTCAAGAGCTAGGCCTCGTCGAACCCAGCATCAGTCCATG